TAAGAAGTCTTTTTTTGACCAGCTACTGAAATAGGTGTAAACTGGGAATAACTATTATTGTAAAATTCTCTCCATCTAAATTGAATAAGCACTATTGTAATCAAAAGGTGTGCAAGTATGATAGCTACCTGAATCGTTCTCTTGAAGAAGGGACATTTCTTGAGTGCCTCAGCTGAGCTAACATAATCCCGCTGTCTAAGTCTTCTGATACAGAGAGTGTTGAGGACCATCCTCCGGTATAATGAGACCGCACGATAGTCCATGTGCAGAAATATTTGAAAAACATGGTGCACTCTGCTTAACAGATTCTCTCGAAATTAACAACCTCTCCAATCTTAATAAGTACTGCTTCCGGGGAGCACTATACACAAGCGGGGCATCTGAATGCTTCTCCACGACTTAAACTATGGTAACAGAATTTTGGTTATTTTAATAAATCTATCCAAATCATTCGATCTGGTTCACCATAAGCATTTGTTATCTAAATTAGAAATCCATGGTGTCAGGAGACTTCCAGTTATTTTTCTTAATGATTCTGATAGCAATCAATATAACTCCTGAAACATATCCTGTAATTTTTATGTTCACAAAGCTGTATTGTCTGCCGAATCACTCTACATATATGTTAAAATTTATGTTTATTGAACCACACTCCGGCATCTATGGTGGACTTTTTCACTAGACAATTCTGACAATATATTTCGTATATCTGTTTTCATGTTCATAGGATGTTAGGTTTGTCTAATTGTACTTGAAAAAGACCAACGTTGTAGCCGAAACATCGCACAGTAAAGTGAAATTTAAACACATTTTATGTGGTTTGATTCGGCCTGACAATTTAGTCCTATTTTGTTGTTTAAAATAGCTGCTAATTTATGTTCGCATTTTTATGAATACATTCACTTACTATCAACATATACATTCAAAAATCACTCACAGTCTCACCCATAAATCAATTAGTTTTTTATTATTTAGAATCAAACGTCCAATTTCGGATTGCTGTGGAAAAATTGTAGAAATTGAAAAATCTCGGAAGCTCCTGATTTTCACATACAAACATATAGGTGTAGGTCAAAATTTGTTGCATTTTAGGCCCCTGTCACGAAAGTAAGAAATAAAGTGAATTACCAGTAGCACTGTATATCTTTGACTCTGAGATACTCTGTATAGCAATAATTTGGTTCATTTAAAGGTATTAGTAATACGTTGCTGTATCTCGAAATAACGCTGGTGTAGCAATTAGTCGATTAATAAAGGAGACACCTCAGAAAATATAGAAATAGCTGGCCCGTTTCAAATAATGCAACATCAGGGTTTAATTCGGCCAGACATATGAGTTCTAGCAATCAGTATGTCATGTATGCTGCTGACCCATCCATTTTAGTAAAAGCTGATACGATACCATCGCTGGTCACCGCTATGTCAGAACAAAACATAGTACAGCGATGGTTCACAAGCAATGGGCTAGTATTGAATGAAAAAATTCCAGTTTTCTCAGGTTTACACACTCTAATAAAACTTCTGACCATAGTCCTCAGATGAGATCATTGAGAAAGTGAAGTATTTAGGCATCCATTTATTCGACAACTTTGAATGACACGTGCACATAGCTAATGTGGTCCGTCACATTTCTAACTGACAAAACAGCTGTCATAACTTACTATTTTGCGTACTTGCCTTCGTGTATGTCTTAAGGTATAGTTGCATGAGGTGCTTGCACATTTTCATCTCTTAGAAAATGTATACAATTTAAGCAATGTATACAATGCATACAATGCAGACAATATATACAATGTATACAATATATAAAATGTATACAATTCATACAATGTATACAATGTATACAATGCACACAATGTATACAATGTATACAATGCACACAATGTATACAATGTATACAATGCACACAATGTATACAATGCATACAATGTATACAATGTATACAATGAAATCGTACAGGTAAGTTGTCCTTTGTTGTAGGCTACCGACGCTTTATTTTAACAATTTATACTTGCCTAATACATACATAAATCAAATCAGAAAGTACTTCTCCTTATCACTAATAAGAAGCAGTAAAAAAGCTTGTGTAGCACTCCTTACGATTGGAATGCACAGAGAACTTGACCATCATTTTATTTTTTTTATCTACGTTTACTTAATTATCTATGTTTACCTAATTGTCTATGCTTAATTGTTTTATCCCGCCTAGTATGTATACCCCTTTATTTGTTTATACTTTCTATTTTAAACTCCCACTTTCAATGTACTAGGTTTTAATTCGTGGTGTATTGTTCTCCCTTTACAAGTAATTATTTTCTTCTTATAATTGGGTTTCCGTGTACACTTGTTTATTGTTGTTTATTATCCAGGAAGCTATATTTTATGGACTCATATTTTAGTGTTGTTCCTCTTTCCGTTGATATATTTGTCTTCTTTAGTTCTTTTGGAATTATCAATTCAAGAAATGATCTGTCTATCTACCATAAAAATATTATAGCCACTGTTTTTTAATCACCCTGTATAATAAGAAAGTAGCTCATCAACATTATTAATGATACACCTTTACTGGGTTACTGGTATTTTGCCGTGATAGGGGGATTGAAATGCATACATGTATCTTAGACGAAGATCAATATATTTCGGGATTCTTCAGTTTTTGTGATTTTTTAACAATCACCTAAAATTGAACATTTCGGTTTGAATAAAATTAAACTATGCGACGCATGGGCCAGACAGCAATATTTTCGTAGTTTGTACTTAAGTTAGGTGAGTACAATCATGAAAATAACATATATCGAAAAACCAGAGGTGTAATAGATACCGCTATCTTCGAAGTCATAAATTGAATAGCACCAACACCCATAAGATGTTAGACTCCTGCCTAGTTCAGGGAAAGGACAATTAGTCTCTTCAGTGAATTTGAGTGGCTGTATCCCCTCGAATTCTGGCAACCGCAAGCAGTGCGGTCAATTCCGTCGTCTCCGGAATAATCCGGCAGAAAGGCAGCCGAAAATGATGCTCTCTTCCCATTTTTAGCATCCTCTTCGTATCGTTCGGGTCAGGATTCCACGAATTACGATACAGCTATTCCAAGTATTCTCCAAACAATTCCAATGCGTACTATTAGAAACTACGCCGCTTGTTAACGAAAATATTTTGCAGTCAGTTAGCCGTAGCGATGTCTGTTTAATGAAAATTCTGATAATGGGAGGTTTTACTTATTAGGGGTGCCATATAATTACCCAGAAATCAGAAAAAGTTTTTAAAACGCAGGCAAGCTGAGTTATCTTAACCTAGAAGATCGCTCGCTATCTATAAATCAATTCATGTTGAACACAATACGCCGACCATTGGGGCTGTCAATATCAGTAATACTACAGTAACGTAACTTTATTATTTATGTAATTTAACTTGAGTGCTGCTGTTTTTTTGTTATTTTAGCCGGTTATGGATACAATTGTAAAGAACTTTGAAGGTAATGGTCCTTATGCCCATTGGCGTGCTACTGCTGACGACGCTTTCCGCCTTGTACTTTAATTTCACACCGTAACCGCCCGTGCAGATACATATGCTGAAGGGGATAGAAGCCGTCTGGATAGCTCATCATCAGGTTGCCTAGCAACGCTAATGCAGCGATCTGTCGCGTTGGCAATATTTAATACCATTTCCTTGAATTAAGGTCCATGTTGAAAATATGCGTTGGTTTATTCTCTACGCCCAAATAATGGTTTTATTCTGATCGTACACATTTTTGAATTGTGAATTGTGTCTAATCTGCCTACGGCACTTCATTTTAGGCCAAAATAAAGGGCCAGGATCGCCACAAATGCAGTAACACCCATTGCTTCGCTCAGGGTTCCACCTCCATGATCATAGATGAGCGTTGAGCGATTTTGGTCAGTATCCATCTAGCGGTCACTGGGGAGGGTCGTCCTGCTTCGAAATGGGAGAGATAATTTGTATTGCTACATTTTGCAATAACTGAGGATGTGTCGATTTTATCACCGTAGGTGGAAATAAAAGGTAATTTCAAGATAAATTAGAACTCTAAGTCGCGTCAAATTTGAAATAAATAATTCTAATCAAAATGAAAACAAAATATTAAACTAAATGTTCGAACAGACCTCCTTGTTGGGTTTGACAGTAATCTTACATATTGCAGAAGCCTGTGCGAACATTTTCTGGCGTAACATACTGACAACGCGGCAGATTGCTAGACAATGTGGTGATGACTTCCGCTCTTCAGCCGGCTTCTATCTCTTTCTAACATGTGTTGATATACACTTCTCGCGCTTCTCTCGTACACATTGAACTCAAACCGTCAGACAGATTTGGTTTTCCCTGTACAGGATCTATTAATCAAAGTTAACTACCGTGTGAGGACAACTTGATATTGAAAAGGGCATTTTCAGATTAACTTGCAGTTAACAGGGTTGTCATATTCTAGCAGCATATTGAAAAGTCGGTCTTTCGACTAAAAAAATATCATTCTTCGTTGATCGAGAAAATATGTAAAACCACAGATAGTGATTCCATAACACGCGTTTTGAGTTTATAGGTATTTACATCTGCCTCTTTGGGACAATTGTCTTGTTCAGCTGCCAGAACCGACTATCAAACGTTCCTAAATTACCAGATTTTTATCTGTATTGTTGTTATTGTTGACAGGTCAGAAAAAATAATATGAGATACAGGGCTTAGTTCTATAGAAAAAAAAATCCCCGATCCATTGCATGCCGGTGTAGTCGACTTCTACCGTAAGAACCGGTTTTTCACTCACAGCTTAACACTTAGATTGTGTAACTAAAAGCTCCCCGTAAATTCGGTTTTCGAGCTCTGGTCAACTCACCGCGGTGTTCGTGTCTCGTGTCATGCGTAACAACTCATGTCACTGCCACAGGCGGCAAGCGGTCCTCATTTCGAAAATGGCGGGAGTATCGGATGCTGACGAAACTATGGATGTAGTAGAGCTGTGGGTATATCTTGAATGAAACAGAGAATGTATTGTTTACAATATTATTTAATAATATCATCGTTGTTATTTTACATCTTGCAACAGAAATAATAATGGTAATGATATTTTCAGATAACAAATCATTTACAATGTATAAGTATACGCTATCTTAAATTAAGCATTATACATTTAATTCACAAAATTAAGTCACTAGTACGGACATGCTTACAGCGTGTGACTGGAATTTCAGATTCGCTATTTACAGTATTCCGTAACTGTATCATATCTAAACTCAGGGAGCTAATGCATCAATAGTAGCTCACTAAGTAAGAAGTGTTATCGAATAAAAAGTTCGATAAGTTTAATATTTACATTATCCCGAAAACGATGTTTGTCTTTAAAAACCTCTGATTAATTAGTTACTAACTGAGAGTGCTGAAAACATTCTATAGTCCGTTAGTATGACAACCACTTAGCTTCACACTTCATAAGTGGCAGCTACTTTTATAGCAGTAGTTTACGAAAGTGTAGTCTACGAAAGTCAAATATTCCCTAATTTTAGCCTAACAAACAAGCTTATATACCGCTTTAAAATAAACCAATGGTAAAATTTTCTTAGGGGTCTTGCCTTTAACTTTGACTTATGTACTTGCTGACCTGAGAAATTCTAATTTTCAACCGAGTCTTGTTACAAACTGATCAATCAGTGACTTTTATCAAACGGATTAGATGAGCCAAAAACCTCGCGTTCGTGAGAAAAGTTTGTTTTATAGCGATTTTTAAGCTATTCTGTCCCACTAAAATTGGCGAACCTTAAAGTTTTCGCAGACTGTACATGTGACAGAAAATAATAGAAAATCATCATCTGTTGATGATTAAACTGCCAACTTCCTTTACTCTCAGGTATAATAGAGTGCTATAACTGAAATTATCATATTGACAACTGCTTCAAGCAATGCAGTTTTGTAATTAGTAGGATTAGTATTTTACAGGCATTATCTTAAAATTTAGTGAGTTACTATTGAAATCAACGCATAAACTTAATTACTGCATTATTGCACAAAACTCACTGTTTATGTTAACTACGTAATTGCTTGTAGCTAATGTATATTGCACCCAATAAATTTTACCATACTCGGAACATAAATTCGAATGTTTGGAACTTTCTTATTGGCGTTACAGTTATTCTTCTACAAACTTTAGCAGTAAATGGTAAGCTTGCAAATTGATTGGGATATGTTAAATAAAATGGAAACACTTCTTGTATCATCTCATAGCCCAAAATTTGAAGTTGTATTAACCTTGCAATGAGATATAAGTTTAAAAATGATGTAGGGTTTGCTGTTAGTTGCTAAATAGAGTAGACAAGAAGGGGTTATTTCGAAATGGAATTACTTAATCCGCTCAAGAGCATTGAGTCCAGTAGATTGACTTATACACCCCGTTAATCGTTTTTTATACCAGACAATACTATCTAGAATTCGGTAATATATTGATGTCCGGTATCAACAGGTTTTTATAAATCTAGGAGAGGTCTCTTGTGATTATAAACTCGACTTGTTTCAAGCATCTTCCTGAAGGTATGAAATTAATTATCTCGCATGATTGGGTTAAAATACGTATAACAAGGTTTCCTGCATCTGCCTGCATTAGTAATAAGAAATGCATAGAAATTTACTAATTGACAAACGGATCGAGTAACAGAACTTTGACACTTGTATTTCACTACGCACTAAAATGAACAGGAAATAGATCCAAGATACCATATGACGTTTTTTAAATGTTTTTGTCTAAAATATCATATTAAAAAATACAGAAAATGAGTTTCACGATATGTTGGTACTAGGTACTTTTGTTTTTGTAGCGTGTGACCCTACCTGTGTTTTGAGCGGATTTGCCAATTTTGTTCCAGAATCAGCCCTACATATCTAGTACTATAGTTATCAGTTTTTGTATCGCTAAGCTGTGTACACATCAAGTAAGAATAATCTCCCCTTATTGTTTTGTATAGAGGCGCTCCTCATGAAATCCAAATTTCATTTGTAAACCTTATATTTCTGTATACGTGCTGAGTTCCGCATTTTTCAAACGTTTATGGTTCTTGAAACCCCACGACTAGATATTTGTTAATGTCAATCCAGGAGACTATCCCGGCTACCTTCTTAATAAGGTCTCCAAACAACCGCGTCACCATTTTGAGCCGGTCCTCTTTGAGCTCCATTCGTACTCAAGCCTCGGTTATGTCCGTCATCTTGCCTTGCAGCTGCTGCCGCACAAGTACCATTGTTACTAAGGAGAAGATCGGTACTACCTACAACAAAGGAAAAAATGATGTAGTTAACTTTGATGACAGAACTGTACTAACTTGAGATTTCTCGAAATACGTGGAGATGTCCGAAAATATGCTTCAGGTATGCTTCCGTTGTTAAGGCGCTAAAGAAAGTTGTATTCCACTAAAACCATTTTCCGGATTCAGATATACCTGAGCTGGATGTAGAGCCCCATTTGTTATCAAAGAACAATAAAGTGCAACCCTGCAACGTAAAATATTTCACTATGACACAATATGGATTTATTTTTGCCATATTCATTATATCAGTGCAATTCTCCACGTAACTTGAAAGGTCAAAATCTTGAAACAGACCACCAGAATTGGATGCTAATCGCGGAGGGTAATGGATGGGTAGCATCACCAGTTTTCAATGTGGATACCTGGAATACAAGTCTATGATCGTCGGGTTTTGTGATCAGTGGACACTGACTATGAAGACTGCTACATATCTAATCAAAAGTAGAACTTAGGTCCATCTGTGGACGCAAATTTGCAACAGCGAACATATAAAAGGTGTACCCGAGTAAGTGGGTAGTGCTCTCTGATTCATATAGAACAAAACAACAATGGGATAAGTTTCTATATAGCCTACAATGCTTTCCTATAACGCTATACAATTTCATGCATTTTTGACAGCATGACTACTAACTAGGGTTCCAGTGGATTATGTTAAACGTAGTTAGCTTAATTCGACCGTGAGGCACGGACTAACGCAATATCATTATCTATTTATATCGCGCAGAATAAAGGCTCATCGACGAGCTTTTCGGAGAAAAGCGGTCTTTCCAAGTACTATTTTGTTGTTTTTGATTTGTTATGCCTATGGACGCGACAGCATTAGAAAAGCAATCTACGCTGGTAGCAGATAAGTTATTCATGAGTTACACCATATGGTATGTGGGAACACATTTCTTAAGTTCCACTATTATAAAGGGTGTCCCATATATCAACGGTAATTTTGAATTATTAGTTGTTGAGATATTGGGTATTCTATCTAAAAAACTGCAAAGATTGGGTCCCTGAATATCTAGTGTTCTGCTGTCACCACAGGTAAAGTAGCGAATTTAGTACCAAAATGTACACATCTTAAAACCTCCATTTTAATCATTTGAACGATCAATACAATGAAAAAAATACTAAACGAAACACCCTCGATATTTTAACATTTTTGGATTCCACTTTTACAAACTCAACCCTGATACGAATATCAAGGGGCTTTGTATGACTAGTTTTCTAGTCATGGTTATTTCTTCATTAAATGGGCACGGCAATCACATAAGATTGATGAAAGAGTATCAGATCATCTAAACAAAGAAAAGACAAGTAGTGGATTACCTTACATAATGCAAGAAAGATAACACATGTAGTATTTTTTGCTATAAGGAACTACACAACAGAAAATAATAAATCAAAATTCATTCAAACACTTTAATTTTAAATTTGACAGCAAAGAGATACTGTAGACCTTTAGTGCATATGAATTAATTTAATTAGTATTGAGTATGTATTATTATGTTTGATTTAGGCCAGGCCTCTCCAACTCAGGTGCCACCAATGCAGCACCGAGCACCGCTCGCAGCATAGTGCTGCGGGGAGACTCCGTGAAGGTGGGGGAGGGATTAGGCAGCGTCATACGCATCGCGAGGAAGGTATTGTGCTAACCGTAGCACCCTGCGAATAGAAATGACCCGGGAGCTGGTGGCATTGAGTATACCTTCATTGCGGATTCGATTAAATTTAGTAATAATATGTAGTTTTTAAGTAAATGGACAAGAAGAGCTCAGTAAGACGGGGCGCAACTTGCCAGAAGTACATGTCATACCGACTTGAAGATACAGCGTGATAAGAGAATTTCACCGAATCCAATGAAGCCTACAAGGTTTGATGGAAATTTTAGGCTCATTTTAAAAAACATGGTATGACAAACTGATTTCCGCCAGAAGTCTCTGTCGTACCGACTAAAAGCTATAGCAGGCAATGCAAATAGTTCAAAGTAATACATCCTGTTTGTATGCTTCATGCTTGCATTTAAAAGCTCATTTTAGTCTGTCAGTTTGACACCAGGCTTCTAGATTTTTGAAAGTATGTATGTATGTAAAATGAATATGAAACGTCATGACCGTTGATATACGTATAGGTTATGGTAAAATCCTACCGACACGTTGTATCTTCAAGTCGATATGACAGGTACTTTCATCGGCATACCAAGCCCTTTTTGTTCGTTTAGATTGAAACTACATATTATTACTAAGTTTAGGAAAATCCGCGATAAGGTTTAATTTCGCCGGCTCCCAGCCCCAACGGAAAATGAGTGTGGAGTGACATTTGTATTGACATTTGAATTGGTTTGATCGAGTCAACGCGCGGGTGATAAAATAATGTTCATAATTTCGACGTAAACACATTTATTCTTAAGATGATCTTTGACAGCGTTTCGATTGAACAAGTTTTCTAAGATTTGGTACTGTGGCTTGAGCGGTGGAAATTCTGAGTATCGCCTCTAAGGACACATCAGACAAAGAACTGTTTTTAGTTTTGTTCAAATTCATTAAAGAAAACATGTGCTCGCAGAAGTACGTTGTACCGAACATGGAGCAAGTTTACAAGTCCAGTGCAAGAATTTTGGGAAAATCTTGCTCCTTAACACCTTGATAAAACGAAATTAAATTACTATTGTAGTGGTAGTATCTAACCTTAAGGATCGTAGCGCATTGAAGCTTAATCAGCTCCATTTGGAACTGCGGCGGTTCTATTTCGAAAAGCACTGAAGACGGCGTCGTAAAAATCTCATTTGCATAAACATCTCAATGATTTCAAAAAAAAATCTTTAGCACTTTTGTGCAGCTTAAGCAGCGCGTAACACAATAAAAGGGTATGTCACCGTAAGTTGGTTCCAGGTCTTTTGAAAATACCTCAAACTACCATGGTTGACACCTTGCTTTCTGCAGAAATTGACACATGTTATTACTACATCCATAATACATTTGAAATTACGGAAGGTTTTTGCACATAGTTGTTCCTGATGTAATATGCAGTGTACCGATGATATCGGAGGTAGCCCAGCGTCGCGTACTTTTATTTTCATTCGCCCAGTAAAACCTTGTGCTTCCGATAACATTGCTGGCGCTCCATCAGTAACAACACTACGCAAACTTTTGAGTAGTATACCCATGTCATCCATTGTATATTCTACAGCATCAAAAACATCTTCTCTGGGCATTGTATCTTTGAGCGGGATAACGTCTAGTAGTTCGTTGGTAATAGTATAGATTATTTCGACACGTCTAACGAAAACAGCTAATTACGATGTGTCAGAAATGTCTTTACTTTCGTCGACAACTATAGAATACTGCACAAAATGGGCACGTTTTCCTGCAGTTGTTCTTTTAAATCTACACCAAGTTCAAGTATCCGACGAGAAATTGTTTGCTCGGACATAGTAATTGTCTCAAAGTTGCTTACAGGGGATGGGCACAATATTTATACACACTTCACTAAGCATTCTTTGACAAGTGCACCGTCAGTAAACGGTCTCCCACTTTTTGCGATTTTCAAAGCAACAATATAACTTGCATTACGACACCATTAATAATAATCAACTACGACCAAATTAATAATTACCTCTTCAGAACTTAGAAGTGTTGGCCTCAATACCGTATGACAAATTAAACATTTTGCTTTTCCATCAGTATTTACAAAAAATAGGCTTCTTACATACAGGATTGAATGACATCGTTTAAAAAAAGATGCACGTTAAGACGCTAAAAAACCTGTCCACTCTATCTTGTCCTATTAAGAAATGGCCCGCGCCCAAGAGACAGTCGGCTAATATGTTTGTCTCTGTCGCGACGGCTGTGTGGTCGAGGTGGAGGTGGAACGGCACTGGGTTCAGCACCGGAGCGCACCAGCACCAAGTGCTCGAGTTGGAGAGGCCTGATTATAGGTTTGTCAACTCCTCAATATAACAGTTCTACTCCATGCGAATTAAGATAATTTGATAATTTTTTGCTCACCTACCAAACTAACACGCAGAATCCCTTTTATGATTTAGGATTCAAAATATTGTTACTGCCACCATACTTTAACATACAAAATGTAATTAATACATTTAGTTTTTATTATAAAATCCATCTGTTTAATTTCATTACATAAAAATAGACTTGCTTTGATCCACTGGAAAATGTTTAGTTTTAATGAATTAAGAGTAACTAATTTTGATTATAAATCTGTTATTCATCTCATGTTTACATGCGATTTTTCTTAGTTATAGTGTGCAATTCGTATATAATTGATATCAGGAAAAAACTTATCAAAAATGTTAAAATATACTTTCCATTTAATTTTTTTGAGATAAAGTACTTTATGCGTTCGTTTTTGACTACTCTGTAATGGAAATTCAAAAAATAAAGGAAATGGATGAATCAGGGTAAAATTTAGTGTACTATCTTGACACGAAACCAATAGGCACCTTATATCAATCTTCTTATTTAAAGAGGGCCTTCCGAAGTATGTACTAAGAAGTAGAGCATTCTATTTAACAAATGTGTATATAAATATTTCAGAAATGTACCCCCGGATAGTTTTCCTTGAAAAGTCTGTTCAGCAGCAATACTCCGTTCTAGCACGGTTAAGACACCTTGCACATAGGGTTCGCTTTCTCAAACTTTCATTAGGCGTAGCCCATCGTGCTGTACTTGGTTAGTCACAGTAATATCGAAAATTAAGAAAAAACTATTTCTAGCGGCACCCTTTTGTCGTCTGTACTGTTGCAGAGTAGCCCAGCAGTATATTTTTGTAGGAATATGTCACATTATCTCTTAGTATTAGAGATTGACCTCGTATTGTGAGACCCCTGTATAAACATTTCATGTAGCGTAAGATCTCTGACTACATCCATTTGTATTTTTTTTTTTGAATATGTAATACGTATATAAAACATGTAACGTACCGTGCACCATTTGCCTCTGATTACTCGTGGACAAATGATCCATAACGCTTTGCAAGTCACTATGCTGCGCATGTGTCGTATGCAATGAATGGAAGTTGTGCGTCTGGTTGGCTGCGGAGTACAGCTGGGAGTACAGTAGGCCGGGCAGTACCGGGTAGATTGAGTTGTTGCAATTGCTCGAGGAGTACGAGCTCTGACTCATGTTCTGGTGCAGTTGGAAGTTGGTGTTGTTCACGTGGTTAACTGCACCTGGAAGTATGAGAGATTTTTACTGACAAGTAGAGGTCGATGTAGAAAATCGAATAAAAATATTCCGCAGTTCGTACAGAAGTACGGTCGTCTTTTTACGTGCTCAAAGTGTTGCTAACTACTACTGTGGAGTTAGGAGGTTGTTGGCTTTTTTTGTTAAAAATATAGGATCTTTGTGACATTCCATTATTTTATTAACTCTGCTTTGTTGTCCCTTCCACAGGCTAAGGTGTAAGTGCACGCCAAAGCTTTTGCGGAAATTCTACCCGGAGGTCCCTTCCAATACCAGGGTACCGTCAATACCAAGAGTTCTTTGAGCTAAGAGGAATATGGCATATTCTCATTCTCTCTAGCGCCATTGCTTTTGATATTATAAAAACTTCCAATCAGCTGTGGTGTTTAACTTCAGTCCAGAAAAACTCTACCGACTAACCGACTCTAACGACTACCTGTTTTGAATTCAACGTTATTGCTGTTACAAATTAAGTACGTCCTCTCCTGCATGATAAATTTGAACGTCAGTTTTGTGGAGGGCAGCACAACGCATGTCCGGATTAATAGTTCCTAAGCTATCTCTGCAACGGAGCTGGTGATAAAAAGAACGGTAGCGCCTTCCTCTCTTACGGAACCACCTAGAGGTAGGCGATTTAAAGCAGTTTACTGTTTCCGTACATAGCACTGCTCCTCCTCTAAGGTTATCTCCCTGATGGCATTAAACCAGCAAGGAGTGATAAAAAATAAATTTTCCCGTACTACGCCTATTTAGTTCTTCCAGTATTTGGTGTAGAAATGCTGACTACTTATTTTAATTTATGGAAATTGGGAAATTTGTTGATCTGTGATGCCCAGTTTCATTCAATCTTCTGACCTGGCTGCGTCAGGCAGAATTCAGTGTTGTTTTGAGCACACAAAAAGAAGACCAATTGTTCCTACAGATTTCCCGAAAGAAATATTTTGAAATTATTTGCCATATCCAGTAATCTTATGTCTTTGTTAGGACTTATCAGTACGTTCTACAATAATGTATAGCATTCATTCTACTTCCACCAATTACTCTGTGGAATCCAACTCAGAATATGTCAAATCAGTGTGGGAACCCCCCTTACCAACAGTGGGTTGCGAAGACACAAGTAAATCATCTTGGACGGGACTTTCTGCTGTGCTGGAATTATCTGATAAGGACCTAGGACCAGATATTGCAAAATCCGCATGGTTCGAGGTATAACGAGGAACGAGGAGGGACGATGAGTGTGTTGTTGACTGAGAGTGGTTAGAATGCGTCTGTGACGTCACCAGGCCCAGGTGTTGATCAAGGTCTGTCGTTGAGGCTTCTGGAAGCACTAAAACAAAAATACAAAATATGATACATGGATGTTAGCATTGATATTGCCAAGGTTATTTCTACGAACTAAACACGTCTTGGGGAATAACAGCAGTCCTCAAGCGTTTTATAGAGTTGTGAAGCTTTCTGTAATTAATACCGAAATATCAAAGTGATATTAAGTGTAGCAATATTAGCCTAATCGTTTGATAGCTTTGCCTGAAAAGTTTTGGAAAAGCTGTGAAGTATTCGGGTATAGAGTTACATCTGAGACTACCTCGGTTGCCTTCCGGTTATAGCTAAGCACCTGCAAGGTATTTTTTTTATTTTGTGAGTTTGTATCTCCTTTAGCGCCAAAAATCCAACAGTGGTTATTTGTTATTTCTTTTCCTAGTGCTTGAACTAGGTGGCGCCCAAAACACAATCAGTTGCAACCAAAACAAAAGTACAAAGAACCTCAGTCTGGGGGAGCTCATATGTATCAACTGAGCACAGTTTTCGCTGGATAACAAGCTGTTCTCATTAATTCTACGGTATGACAGTTGGAAGGTTATCGCGCTACTTCCATTAATATAAAAAATGGTGTCAAGTAGTATATGTACTTCCCACAAAATTGTGGACAACTGGACCATGCATCGTATAGCTGAGTCAACTTTAGTTCATTACTTCTAAGTTTTTACTATTTTCCGGCCATGGGGTAACCCGTACAGCTAGTGATGCTAGAATAAAATGAGTTGCAAATTAAATTATGGCACCGTCGGCATTTCTTAATACTTATCGGGCTCTCCGCAGGTTAAGGATATCGCGACTAGGTAGCTCGTGTTGCTGGAGTTACAGACCCAACAATTGCGCGAAATATGTTATACTGTTCCTAACAGGTGGGTGATTTTACGATGTTACCAAGATCACAATTTAAGTAATGAATAATGAAACGTCTTTCGCTCGCTGATTCTAAAAATGTAACTTTTACAACCCCATACCAGTCAACACATTTTTCTAAAAACGATCACTAGCTTTTGAATCGTCAAAGAACGAGGTCTGGATGATTCTTATGTTGTCGTTTCTTGCACCTATCTCCTCCGTTATTGTACAGATTTTCAAGATACACCAAGTTTTCGCATTTTTTGGCATAGTTATAACCCCATGTGAAAACTTCATCAAAATCAAGTTATAGGGCGGCCAAGTATTAGCGGACAGACAGACCGACAGGCATCCTGATCGACGAAAATAAGCGACTTGATTTTTCGTGATGAACATGCCTGAGTATCCAGGTACAGGGAGTTCAGTGTTGAGGCGTTATCCCAAACGTCTTCATTCGTCCTTGTTGTGGAGCTGTCTGTCACAAGCTAGATCCATATTGCTATCCCAAGCAACCGAGTCCAATGCTTCCACGTTATCCCAAACGTCTTCGTTCATCCTTGGTGTGGGGCTGACTATGCCAAGCCAGGTCTACGTTATCTCAAGCAGCCGAATCCAATGTTTTAGCATTTTCCGAAACGTCTTTGTTTGTCCTTGGTATGGAGTTGACTATCATAAGCTAGGTAAAGGGTGCTATCCCAAGCAACAGTGTCAGTGGATGCGAATTGATAGGCCGGAGAGGGGACAGACAGGTACGGTAGGTCGCTCCTTTCGCTACATGCACGCTTTGAACTCGTGGGTTTGGTGCGCTACGAGGGTACAATGTTAGGTGTTCTAAATATTTATTTCGATGAGGACCGAACATTATATGTTTATGATTTTTCAAGTATCATTCTAAATACTTGTGTTAATTCGTGTTATTGATTTCTTGTGAAGAAGTTTATTTTTGTGTCACAGTTTGTTAGGATTGTTCTTGCCCGATTTGTTATATTATAATTGAAGATACCTGGGTACCCGGTAGGCTTATTATGTAAAAATTTCCAACTCTGATCGATGAACAACCGACCGTCTGCCGATCGACCGAAAAATTTGTATTCGCTAACGCAATTGGCAACCGGTTGCCCAACTGTCATTGAATGCAGTTTTTGCGACCGAAACAGCGCCACCAGCAATCGAGTAGCAACCGGTGGCATTAAAGTGACATACGATGGTAAACAATCGTCCTGTTTATAAATCGAAAAATGATAAATACATCGTGCATCGTGATTGTGAATCTAGTTTTGTTGAACATTGAACACGTTAGTATACAGGGTGTAAACGTTATGATAGTCATTATTTAAATAGGTGATAGAGGGGGTTAATAGGAGCAAAAAGTTTCATATAACATGGGGGTCAAAACGGCATTTTTTTAGAGAAAAGCGACTTTAAAGTAAAATGAACCTGACAACGCCACAAAACTATGCAAAAGGATTCAATAAGATGACGATGACCGACGCGCTGTTGTCAAGTGTGTTCTAAATATTCAATATACTGAATCTTACTTTCTTACTGACTACAAATTTTGGCATAACTCAGAAAAACTTAATGCCGTTTATTTGTTAATTACCCAATTTAAAAACGATCAAGATTAGATTATAAAAATTATTACGATTGTGGAGATTGTGGTCGATATAAAACACTTAAAGTTGTAAACTATAAAGCCATTTAGATGAAAATCTATTGACTTTTGGACCATGAGTCATATGAACTTTTTGACTATTTTTGACCCCTCCTATTACCCATTTCAATAATGACTACCATAACGTTTACATCCTGTATAATACGATGGTTTGTTCTTAAAAACGAATGTCTGTGTGAGCCGCAGATGTATGGATGTTTACATAAGTCAAGAGTGGACCCTTGATACACACTTAATATATACACACAGTCATTTGTCGGCGAATAGATGACACAGTTCTTGCTGGCACTTACCTATATAGTTCTAGGTGACTGCTTGTTCATTAAAGGCTGCAAATGCATCAGAAAACATGAACATACTGTTTATTTGTGTTTGAGATTTTGTCTGTCTAGGACGAATTTGTGTTAATTTTTCAAAATGGAATATAAAGTCAACCTTGCAAATCGATCAGCTACTTGTCTTTGCAGAAATTCATCCTCATTTAGCTAAGGACAGTGTTGGGCTTGGAAGGAGATCAAAGAAGATAATTAATAGGAAATGGGACGAATTAGCGATATATCTGAATACTCATGGATCTGGAGCTACAAAAAATGGACAATGCTGGAGAAGGGTGAGTTTATGTTACATTTTGTTATTCATCCTTTTGTCATCGCTAATTCATATTTTTTTTATTGTGTTGTATCTTATTTTTCATCATAAGATTACAACCTTTTGCTATGTTCATTATTCTGTTGTATCCCTCTTTTCATTAGATAAATTCAAAAAAGTTGGAGAACTTTTTATAGAAGAAAAAAAGCAATGCTGATTAATAGAAAATTATCTTTAACAGTGTAATAGCACAATTGTTCCCAAAGACTACATTTTCACAATATTTTATCAAAAACTTTTTTTATTTAAGTAACTTGAGATACGATGACGTTTATCCATTTTTGCAGTAATTAAATTTTTATTGGACTAGACTTTATATGTATATTGTACTCAGATTAATTTCAAAAAACATGTATGTCCATTCATTAGAAAAGCGAAAACTGGTATAAAATAGTTTGTTCTGTATTTGTATTTTCCCAAATAGTTGCTACCATCTTTTAATATCTGCAAACGTAGTTTACACAGATTCCATGGGTAATTTTCTTGGATTAGTACTGTCGGTTATAATAAGGCATTTTGTACCATGTTCCATATGGTTTTATTCATATACTAATACAATAATACTTTTTTACAGTATTGGATAGACCTTAAACATAGTATACAATCTAGAGCTGCGCAATATAGGCAGGATGCTACAGGTACTGGTGGAGGGTGCTAATGTTGATAACTTATCTGAAGTAAATATGGCCATATTGGAAACAGCAGCAGAATTTGGAGGTACTGAACTTCAAATTCCATTTAGTGTAAGTACATAACTCCTGGATAAATTTAAATGGGATTAATATTAATCAATGAAAAATCAGTTTATATTCTCTATCCCTATTGCACACTTAATTAAGCCACATTTAATTTGATTGTACTTCCTGGCACTCCACATCATCTTCTAACACTTGATCACACGATAAAAATAAGTACAAAGTTCTGGTTCAAATGGAAAAAATGCAAATTTTTTATTTAATTTTTCACTAGTGATGAACTTGTCTTAGAATGAAAAATTGGATATGATTTCAGTTTCTACTTGGTGTTGCTTTGTAACTTCAGACATTAATTAAAAGCTTTCCGATTTTCAGAACCAACTCCTTCATCTTCAGCTGTTGAGCCACCACCAGATATAGAATTACAAATAGCCGTGCAGTGTGCAGAAGCCAATTATTGTATGCAGGCAGAGACGGCATTAAATGCAACTTCAAAAATTTCACAAGAAATTTGGTCAAGCATCTCAAACCTTCAAACCTGATTGAAATCCAGAAAGGATAAAGTATTTTTATGATTATTGTTTTCTTGTGCGACCTAATCTTTGTCATTTTAATAAAAGATATTTGCACAAATCAATTTACTATATTATTCCTATTGCTGTTCCGTAGCAGTGCGCTATTTTTTGTGTTAAAACCATTTCTCTCAAATCATTTCATAAAAATCACGGACATCTTTTTTGTAATGGGACGGTAAAAAGTTTGTCTCTCAACATATTTATAAGACAAACAAGATTTTTTTTATTGTATTTAAAATAATTGCTTTACAAATTGACGAAAACAAAATAGGAGTGTCATTAACAAAAATTATATTTGTAGAAATCCTTTTGATACATTTTTAAAGAGTATTGGTCCCCATTAGAAAAACATTTAGCGATTTGTACTAATCTTCAGAAGCGGCGAAGTTCTAGGCTGTTTGAGTGATTGTGGAACACTGAGTTTTTTTTTGAAATTTTTACGATTACATTTAGTACCATTAATTAATTAAATTAATAAAAAAATTGTGGGTTCTATTACAAAAAGGTCAGCGGTTATAATTATATTTTAAAAAGGCAGTGCTTCCTGTTACAAATGCATTTTGCAGTTTTTCTTGATCTTTGCTCAAAGCGTACTTTTAGGCTTGCTCCAAATCCTCTAAAATAGTTATTGTTGAATATGGACATGTGAAAATAAACCTTCCTAGAAAACTAATTCTGTAAACATTAAGTTTTTCTTTACAGTGGTTGATAAAACCTTTTTAAAGCAGAGCTATCGTAAAGCATAAGCAAGAATATTGAACATTATTTCATGGAGATTTAAAATGTTCGATACAGCAGATAATAAAAATTTTAATACTCCTGTGCATCGTCCTATGGTATTTCTGGTAAGACCGATTCTTAATGGATGTCCAGAGCCACCTGTAAAAAAAATATCTCTCATTATTACTCATTTTCAAGCAGGCATATAACAATAATTACAATTAAGTAAAAAAATCAAAGTAAATATTAGTGCTGAAATCGGTATGTTGCCTAAAATATGTGTAATATTAAGACTCGGATTTGTTGCTGTATTGTTAGTCTTACAAATAATGAGTCTGAGGTATTGATCTTAGGATCGATGAATATTGACTTATTACACTTGTTAATAGGAAATTTCAACTTCAAGAGCTATGGAATTTTTATCAGGTAATATAAACTTCCATGTGTTGAAAATTTTTGATGTAGCTGAACTCATTAGTTTCTCAGTTAATGATCCACCATACAATTTTCTTAATATGCATGGCAATAAAATTACTATGCTCTCTGACAGTGTTTGAGGGAAGTAAATATGCTTAGATAGCATGTCTGGATGATTTAATGCATCCACCACTTCCCTTAGTGCTTTGGATACACCAGTGGCCAGCACCAGAAGTGCTGCTAATACCTAAAACCAATATGTTTCTATACTGTGGTAGGAAGGTGTAAGTAAGCTTATTAGATAATCATTATGAACTTCAAGTCATAGATACTGAAAAATACGTCGTAGGCGAGAAGTTTGCCGTCTTTGGACGTGCATTCTTTCGCTTTCCAATGCTTCCATAAGCAAAAATGCACGAGCCATCCAGGGAATCAAAATTGCTGAAAATACAAATTGGGAGCATACAATCACTTCTTAGACTCGTCAAGCTAATTTATTCCTTATTTGAACTTGTTGTACTTACCTTTCTTGTTAAAAAAATGAATAGTTTTGACAAATTTATCCAAACAAAACACTAGCAACCGATTAGCGACCGACTAGTCGACTACCACTCAGCAGTTGTTAACTTGACAGTTCAAATCGCTAGTAAGTTGCTGTTGGGTCGGTGTCAATGAGTTAGGGAATACCAATGTTTTGGTACCCCTAACCAAAGAATGTACTTTTCGTTCACCAGTTGCTCCATAGAGGCGCCACCGTAGCCGGTCGCAGATTGAGACACGCTGACTGATACATAATACGAAATTTGCGTTTGTCAGCAACTATCCACCAATTCGGGTCGGTTGTCGGTCGGCATAAGCCTGCGGGTCTCCCAGGTATTCAGATAATATACACGGTCGCTGAGAAAGAAAAATTCGGGTACGTAAGACGCTGTTATACAGGATGTTTCAAATTCGGCCCTCACCAGTGGGATCTCGGAAACTGAAAAAGACACGAAGTTGCTTAAATGGGTGCAACGTTGTGTATTAAGGTAGTCAACAGTCTTCAATTGTAGTGGGATGTAAAAATAAATTGCATATTAACATTGCCACTTTTTCTCCTCTACAAGATAGCATTGGATTGTATACTTATTGGATTTTTGCGCAGGTGACTAGAGTTTTTAATTCTGATTTCAAAAATGCATCAAATCTTACCATCGATATTGCCAAACCTTAGTTATTTCAGAAAAACAGAATAGGTTGGCCTTGAGATTATCAGATTTCATTTATTTTGAATACCAGATGAAACCTCAAATTAAATATAGCAGCCGAGTTTGGAAGACTCAGGAGAAGAGAAATAAGTCGAGCAGTGAACAGAGAAGAGTCAGACTTTGCCTACACGGTAACGGACACTCTAAACATCTGCTATAATATACTTATTTACGATTATTATTGTTCACCATACCTTTTTATGTCGCTATACTTTTCATCGAACAACAAATTCATGGTCAACTAAGGAAATACATCACTGAATTCAGGACTGAAAAGTCCATTTAAATGTGCAAAATTCCACTATAGCGTCCACATGAAAAAGTTGGTGATTAAGGACGAAAGAAGAAATGTAGAATTGATAATTTGACTACGCCATCTTTTAAAGGAGAATATATAACAACGACAATATGGAATTTATTTTGAGCTCCCACTTCAGATAAAGTTGGTACGGGAAACAAATGACTAGCTGATAATTTCAAGGCCTGCCTAGAAAATTCAGTTTTTTAAATAACTAAGGTGCAACAGTCCAATATCGCGTCCATAAGAAAACATACAGTTGGAGCTAAAGGACCAACCGTCAATGTACAATGTACAAGTTATATTGAAACCCCCTACAAATAATTAATAAAAGTTTCATGTTGTTTTTAGGTTTTACCATACTCTTTCATTTCCTTATTATTTTCATCCTACAACAAATAGAAGGCCTACTAAGATAATACATCACTGAATTTAAGACTGACAGGTCCACTTAAATGTACAAGATTCCAATATAGCGTTCACATCAAAAAAACAAAGTTGGTGATGGAAGTCGAAAAAAAACGTCGACCAGAAAATTTGACTACACCATATTGTAGAGGAGAATAAGAAACAATGACAATATGCAATTTGTTTTGAAACCTCATCTCAAATAAAGTCAGGAAAAAATAAAAGTGATTTTGGGATACACCTGTTATGCGAAACAAATGACAATCTGATAATATCAAGGACTACCTAGGAAATTCAGCTTCCTTATCTAAGTAAAATTTGGCAATATATTTATATATCAATATATATTTTTGAATGCGTGCAAAAATCCAGTACGGCGTCCATAAGGACAAATAAAGTTGATGCTGCAGGAAAAGAGACGAAACGTCATATTGAAATTCTAATTATCCCATCTTGCAGAGAAGAAAAAGTGGCATAGTTAATGTGCAACTTATTTTCACATGCCGCTACAAATGAAATGAGGAAAGGATTAAAACGATTTTGGGAAAATTCGGTTTTTTCCTTCTCTCTCCGGAAGTACTTTGAATTTCTAAACATTCTAAGCGGTTTTTTGTTGATTGTCTTAATACGCAACTTTATCCCCATTTAAGCGACTTCTTACAGTTTCCAAGGTCCCAATGGTGAGGGTCGAATTTGAAATACCCTGTATATGGAACTTGGAGCGCGCGTTTTGCAAAGCGTCTTATTGTGTCAGGCAAAAAGCTGGTCAGGAGTTATCAACGCTTGTCAAAATGCTTCCTGAGTGAACAAATATGCTGTGAATTGCAGATAGTGCATCTTGTTGGCAAAACCTAATCTAATTAAGTCTACTAACTTCTCAGCGAATGAATTTCTGTAACGATCATACAATCAAAACTGAAACAAAGGGTATACGATACTTAATCAGATACCCTATCAAACCATTGCTGTTTTCCTAGTACAATATTGACACATAACTACCTGAAAAATGAATACTTGTATTATAGTGTATTTACAAACTGTAGGGACTTTGTTAATTCATTTTACTACATAGCTATTTTTTATCATAAAACGAGTCAGAAAGGAAGCATTGACAAAATACGTATTGGGTGCCATTTTTTCAATAGGGTGGCAAGAACAGAAAATATAAAAGGAAGTAAATTAAAATTTTAGACAGAGCACATTTAAATCCACGATACGGATATCAACCTATCGAAACTTGCCCAAAATGGTCAAGGTAAATCCTTTTCTGAACGCCAAATGATTGGGATATGCATATAGTAGATCGCCTCATTTGATGCCACCACTTACGGTCAAAGGGGTATTACGTATCTTGACAAATTATGTCGTTTTTTGACATTACATATATAGCTTTTTATGACATTATGTAGGTTTTTCTACAAGATGTCAACTTAACACTAGCTGTTGTACACTTGATGTGTACTCGTTCCGTAGCTGTTGCCTAAACATCATGATGCTTCAGCTAAGAAAGTTCACTGGAAATTGCATATGCAAATTTGCTGCATTTCAAAAAAGAGAGCGAAAGGAAAAGAAAATGCCTGGTTGGTGAAGTATATTGAAACTAACAGGTGAGAAAATGTGGTACATACGGGAATACTTATGAAACCTAAAAAGAAATATTACATTTCACATCAATTTGTATTTCCAGTCGATTTAATTTTATAGGAAGTTATTTTACGATCTCAAGGGGAAAATACAAAACAGCGCCTAGATGTGAGACAGTGCGAAAATGTTTTGTATGTGACGCGCCATCCCTAATTTTTTGTGATGTGGCTTAATTACACACAACGCTGGTGCGATGCTGATTTCCCATAATGTTTCTCAAAGCTTTTAAAAACGCCAAAAACACTGGGAAAACCGTAATGTATAACTTCGAGCATAACCTCCCTTCAGAAAGCACAATCAAAAGAAACCGTCTGGTACAGCTCATGGATATACGTCTTTCATAAGCAGCATATTCAGTAATAATTTTCTCACATAGCAAATATGATTTTATACACTTGCAGACCAATAGACGCAATCATTCAGATGTGGTCTTGCTACTCTGCATCTCAACCACACATCTCCGCTTTTGATGACGCTCACAGCGCTCATAGCGAGCAAACGCGGAATGTACTATTTTGCGCACTAGGAACATTTTGTTGTCTTTTTTTTTTGACGTTTTGTAGGTTGTTTACGTAATAACCCTTCGGAAGTAATGTTAGGCGAGCGTTCTTGCCACTTTATCGTTTTAAAACGGCAATGTTGTCAAATTTGAGTTCCTCAGCAAAGGTAATTTTTTGTGACCGCCTGCGAACAGAAGAGGCATGGATTAATGCTACCTGCATATTCCGACGTACAAAAAGGGATCTAAAGGATAGTAGTGCTATCTATGAGATAATAACAGTAAACAAGACAGAATTTAGAAATCTACTTTGAAAAGAGTTAGATTGTTCTGCTACTATCTCATAGATGGCGCAAGGATTTTCAATTTCTTTGAGCCTCTCTAACGCCTAGTTTTATTGGATATCCTTGAGCATTGATTAACGTATTCCACCTGAGAATACCTAAATATAATAGGCATAATAGAGTCCAAGAGGGGATCGAAGATTGTATCATCGACTGTGAGACAGTAGCAGAACCTAACTATTTTCAGAGCAGATTTTAATATTTATTTTTGTGTTCTGCTACTGGATCATAGATGACGCTAATATGCTTTGGATCGGTTTTTGTATGCTTATATATAGTTTATGATTGGCTACCTTAAGGTAGAATACGTTAATGAAAAGAGAAGGTGTTGGTTTGCCTCGCGGATATAGAACACGATGTAAAAACATCTTTTTAGAACAATACTTACATGACGCTCCTACTCCAGCAGCCCCTGTAACACCAGCGGCGGGGGAAAACGCGTCTTGGGCAGGCGTCGTCTGATCAGGCGTCGCGGCAGCAGCTGAAGAACCTGATGAGAAGCCCAAGCTATGCGTATTGAACTGGGATGAGGGCGTCGCGCACGATCCCAGTGCACCCGCAGAAAAGTATGGCGAGTACGCTCCTGCCGCTCCACCGTATCCCCAGTGACTGTTCGTCGTCGTCAAGCCGAATTGGGGCATATCTGAAATAATAGAAAATTTTACAGTTTGTTTGATTTGAATTGGTTATAAACAAGAGGTTAGAGTGGAGCAAAGTCACGTAGGTGTTGTCCCATGCCAACCGATGAGTAGTTTGCTTTCCAAGGAAGGTGAGAGGAAAAGCACCTATCGGAATCAGTTGATTAGTAATTTGTTACACGCATTTATAAGGTACTGCCGGGATGCCTAGTGCTGAGATTATGTATAACTCGATACCAAAAATACACCAACAATGTTCAATTTCAGTTTTTTGCCGAAAATGAAGTGGTTTATGTCAAACTCATCTCTCGATTACTGACTACTGCATGGAAGGTATTCAATCTTAGTTGAAAAAAGATAGTACTTCACTGTATTATATTCTAAAACGCCTGTGATAGCATCATTCTACGTATTAATGACACCTACAATAAAACTATGTGGTTGGGTCCGCCAAACAGGTTTTCCATAAGCAGGTATTTGTCGTAATAAACCTGGCAATGACTATTTCTATCACCATTACCATTATCAGTATGTTTAATCTTTCTCCTACAAAAACTAAAACTGGGTCTTATCTGGGCCTTGCATAGTCCCTATGAGGGCAAACAAAATTTTATTCGTATTGAGATACGCACATCTAATTTTTTTCCATTTGACTCTAACAACTCAAAAAATGAATATTATTGCAATCGAGGAACGATAACCTGTGCCGACTTTCGATCAAACTTTGAATCTGAAAGTTAATAGGGAAACCATGTATGGCTTTAAAACCTAATTCTTATCCTACAAATAAAACCGTGTCTTATATTCCGTAGATATTTATGATTAAAAGAACATTATTATTGATTTTCTTTTCAAAGTTTTATTTTTAGTGATTAAGCCATGGAAGTCTTGCATTAACTTGACTGCTCCTTCTGCCGTATCGGTAACTGCTCTCAGTGTTTAGGCCTCATTCTTAGCGTGTTGAAAAGAAATTCATTGAGAAATCTGTCATCAACTTTGAGTCGACTAAACAAGAACTTGCGATATTTTTCTCTGGAATGAAAAAACGAACGATAGCTACCATCTAAAAATACCTACTGGTTTTGTCCGTCCGACCACAGACAGTCAGCCATGGACAGATGTTTCGTGCTTTTTGGCAACTCATCTGCATCGTCTAGGCTGTGCCTCAGGTCAGTACAATGAACGAAAGCATAAAATATACCTCCATCTGAGGTATAAAATCTATCGAAACAGACGATATAAGGTGCGATCTATTGCCAGAATCTGAGTTTATACTGGCTTATTTCAACAGTGAGCATATTATATGGGAACATTACAAAAAGACTTTTATTCGTCAGACTTGCCATATGGTGGGCCAGAAAGTTAGGCTTTCGATGGGACGCCTGATCGAGTTTCTTTGGCTAAATTAGCAACAAATTTTACTCTAGTTTTCTCATATATATCATGTGCAATGCAACAACGGTTTCACGTATCTTGGCAAGATGAACAGGCGGATGTCTAACAGAGGTGCCTTATTCCTATTAGAAAGTCTGAGCTGGGAGCTTAGTAACGCTATTTTCAATGAATGCGTCGTATAGAATGTTCTGGCGGTCGAATCGTAAATTTTTTCAATGTATCTCCGCCAATGAATATTATTGAAAGCATTAATTCGATTCTCGATAGTCATCTCTAGCAACTTCTTTTCATCTCTATAAAATTGTAGCAGCTTCTCAGCCTCTGCAATATTCAGGCATGATAGCTTTTAAGTATAAATCTCTCTCTAACACCAATTCGTAGATGTGATGGCGGCAAGCAAAAATAAGCAATGCTTTATTAAATTTCTTTGCGAGAATAACACAGTCATCGTTAATGTGACCCTTATTTTAAGCAGTAGTATCACAACAGGCAATCTGAACTTTATCTTTGAAACTCCGGTCAATAATGGCATTCCAATCAACCTGAGCTTCCTCGCTGCTTGAAGAGTTATCCCATTTGGCCACAGCGATAAGTTGCTCTTTATTTTCATACGGTACAACAATCGGTAGACATCCTCCTTTAGACTTGGGTGCATTTGGAGGTAGTAACAATTTGCCATCCCAGTGGACAGTTACAGTATGCGGCAACTCGCTTTGGAAATCAAGCTTTATAGCGTCTGCGTTTTTCGGTACGAATTCTTTGAATGGCAGACCTGCGTATAGGAAACTCGTCAGTGTTACGTCCAAGTGCCTCAATGGTTGCTTCAATAATAAAAATGGCATTTCTCATACTTAACTGAAACTTATCTAAAATACAGCCACCAGTTTTGGAGTTATGAAACCTTCCCTCATTTGAGGTTGATTAGTACCAGGATGTGTGCTCTGAGTTGGGATGGCAAAGTTTCTTGTCGCTCTGCTTCGGAATCTGCAGATGAATTTTCTTGCACTGGTTCATAAGATGATGTCAAAGGAGTTAAGGAAGCAACATATTTAGCTCTCCGCTTGTGATCTTCCGTGAAGACGCGCCTTTTCTTCTTTTATGGCTAATTTCTTCTCCACCCCAGCTAAATGCAGATTGTCCACGTTTGTAACAAGCTCTTGCCGACGTTGGTATAAGGTAACTAGTTTATTAACACAGTTAGTTAGAGATATAGTCGGTATACGTGTCTCTTCCCGGTAAATAATTAACTCACGAATAGTAAGGTTGGCGCTCTCATTGACACTTAATTTCACTTCCCGGATATTATAGAAGAAAACTGCCAGTACTTGTCCATTAGAGGGAAGTTTTGAACGAGTAATTTGATGTTTTGCATACCCTATTAAAAATATTTTCTTTTTAGAACTACGTTATTCCTTCGACATGTTGACTGAAGTAAAACAGGGCCTTTACTAATAGAACAAACGGGCACTACAATACGTTAGCTAGCACACGCCTAACATGCAAGTTTTAACATGTTTCAACGCAATTCGGCATGGGTTGTCCTAGTTCTAGGTACATAAATCTTCATTTACAATTGTTTTGACATTGTTCAAGCAAAGAGGGTATACGTTTGAAAAAAGAACTCATTTGGTAGTTGCACGTGTTGCCTAAACGTCATGAGGATTCAGTTATCAATGTTTGGCTCTGATGTCATGTAAAATCTGCTTCAGAGATGGCATTACTGGAGGTAACGGTAATGCGTAGGTGATAGTGAGGATTTGTCTGCTAATAATATGTTGTGTTGATGATAATTCCATTAGATTCTTGTCTCGTGTTCGAGATTCAAAGCTAGAAATTAGTTGCGCGACCACTTTTTCTTATCCTTTCTGGAAATTACATATGCAAATTTGCAGAACTTCAAAAATGTGAGAAATGAGAAATAATTATATTCATGGTACACTGTCGAATTACAAGTCATATACATGCTAACTGTAATTACACACAACGCGGGTGTGGTGGTGATTTCCCGTAATTCTCCTCAAAGTTTTTGAAAATACAAAAAAAAAACGTGAAAAATCGTAATTTATGACTTTGAACATGTTTTCAAAAAGGACAACATATAAGTAACCGGTCGGGCACAGCTAATAGATATACTTCATTGGCAGCATGTTCAGGAATGATTTTCTCACACAGCAAATATCATTGATTTTATACGCATGCAGACCAATACACATAATCATCCTGACGATCTTGCTATTCAACCAATTTTCTTCTCAGAGATGAAAACTACAGACTACTCGGCTTCACAAGACATATGCAACCAACAATGCGTGTAGTTGAGTCACTCCTCCACAGATGGACGCTCACAACGATCCTAGTGAGCAAGCCTGGGATGACTCTAAGAACTACCTAGTCTGCAGTTGACATTTTATAGGTTTTTCTTGACGTTTTGTAGGTTTTTTAGATAATACCCGTGCTGAACTCCAATCGAAACAAATTGCTTCTCACAAAATTTAATCATCCATTGAAACCGGACGTGCATCTGGGTGCTATATATTAGTTAACGTGCTGAACTGAACTATGAAAGTATTGTACTGAACCAAACTACTGCGCTTTCAAGCAGTGGTAACTTTCGTCAGAGAGGGGCAGTCGACGTCAGTTTTCTATCTAGCTCAACCGGAAAAATCGATCTATGTAGCAGTCTGAATCTCTGGATGCCCCCTTCATTCAAATGGCACAATGTTTTTTTCTCAACAAACAAGAGCATATACAATCTACCCGACCCAAAATTGTTCAATTTTCCATAAACGCATGAGCTCTTTCCCCCATCATTCACTTACCACACTCCAGCACTGCTAACGTTTTTATGAAACCCATCTGATACGCTTCAGCCACACATGTTATTGAATCCATTCCAAGCCACAAAAACGAATTAATTGTTTTCTACTTTGCTTTTTCCAATGTTTACCTGCGTTGGCGGTCGTATTCAACAACAAACGAATTATGTCCAGCTTGATTTATATTCGTAACGAAATAGATAAAGAGGCACCCTTTCACGACAAAAATATATGTTGATTCCAGAAACACAATTGACAATTAAACAATAACCTGGCCGTTGGATATGAACTAGTAATGTATCAAGAAAACTTGGTTGAGGCAAATGAGCACACTGTTTTTTAATAAATAATAATTTTTTAAATAAAATCTGAGTGGTTAATGTCGAATGTACTTCACTGAATATTTGTATATTCTCAGGCTGAATATAAACCATTACCTTTAAGGAGTTAATCGCATATCCAAAGTGAATTTCCGCAAATTCATTTTTGAAGCATTAGGTTGGATATACTTGGTTCTGCGATTTGATAAACAAACGCTTATGCTTTTTAGAAAAAAGCACCTGGGCTTATTTCCCTTAGGGCTAACGCTCCAGAATTAATTTTCAGTGTAAGATTAACTTACAGACGGGTTCACAAAGCATAGATGCATTGTGAGCATACTTAGTGATTCTGATCTAGAATCCGCTCTTCTTACCTAATCTATCAAAGTTTGTTGGGTAGATCGAGTAATTTTTTCATAATTATACAGATATCAGTGACTGAAAGCACATGTCTATTATATATAGGGTACTTTT